AACAGAGGTGAGCTCTTTAAATAAATGAAAACATTCGCGTGTCTGATTTATATCCAATTCCTTTTTTCTTATTCTATGTTTTCCTTTACTATGCACAGTCTTTTAGGTTTAGTATGTGGAGTACTGTTACATTTTGCATTGCCTTCAGATATATTTCCATTTCTTCCCTTTTTATTTCGGAAAGCCTCACCTCCAGTCTATTATGGCGGGAAGGCGCTATTTATCAGAGGAAGAATACCCTCATATGGTCAATGAACCATTTATTAATGCAGATGAGAGTGATGATTCATTTTCTAAAGAGTTATAAAGTGATACTTCTCCGTGCTTCGAGATTTACCACATTCAGTCTTCATTTTAAATTTTATTACTTTATTGTAAATAGTCTTTATTTGTGTTGTCTTATTAATTTTAAACCTTATTGATGGATTTTATCAATTAAAACTTTGGAATAATTTGAAAAATGCTTCCAAAAATTATTTTACAAGATAAACAATTTTTTAAGTATATTTTAATGTAAAATAAAGAAAAAAAGTTATTAAGTGCTAATTTTAATATATATAAGAACTCAATAATCTAAAACGCTACCAAAAATTGCAATGCTAGAAGCGAAACTTTTTGTTTCTGATTTTTTAAAATAAAATTAGGCTTAGCGATGCAAAACCTCCGTCCTGTACGGAGACTGCCTTCGATTCCCTTCCGTCCCACATGAGCGTCTTAAACAAAAGTGCGCCATCGTGAAAAGGTTAAGAGTGTTCAGCCAGCATTTGTGAATATCTAAACTTTATGAAAGAGATGATGGAGTGCATAAAACTATCCTGTAAACTGTATATGGATAGGGTTGCCTAACAATTTTGTATTAAATCCTTGATAGCCAATCTTGTTATTTACTCACAATAGTTTAGTTAATAAAGCAGTATAATTTAAATTTGTGCTCTCCGTTTACACCTCCCCATTATATATATATATTATATATATGTCATAATAAGAGCAAAAGGATAGTTTCCTGCAGCCTGAAACCTCAATGGAAAATTTAATTCAGCTCTTCAAATCATCGTTTTGTGATAACTCCAAGATAATGTGAAAGAAGTGAATCATCAAGTTTGTTTTTTCAGTGTTTAAAAAAATAACAGATCATTCTTCTGCTGTGGTGTTTTGCAAGTGCTTCAAAAAAATAATCACGCGTAGTGGTTACAGATTGAAAGTGATCTCTCGATAAAATGAGAAGTTCGAATGCCTAGTGAAAAGTAAATCATCAGTGAATTACCGTTTAGTAATTAAGCATTACAGCGGGTTCAAGGTCGATCTGAGTTAGTGTTTGTAAGTATGTGCGACAGAAAATTATTTGCACTTCCGCTTTTTCAACAGCTCAAAAATTTATTACATTCGTGTGAATCTAAGCTCAGGAAACTAAATTATTTAATGTGCTGTGAATTCTATAGTTTTCATTTCAACTTTGGTTAAAATTTCTGCAATTTGTTTTGAGAAAATCTGAAATTCTTGTTCATTAATTTTTCTAATTTTTCATAATTATGTGTGAGCAAAATTAAGTAACGCTAATTTTAAGCTATTTAAATTATTCATAGGGAAGGATATTAAGATAAGTTTTTATGTGTTTGAAATTTTGTTGAGAATTTTGAATACGAATTTTATAATTATTCTAAAAATGAAGGTGTAAAAAATAAGTGAAATTATTACAGATACGTAATATGAAATTATGGTAAATGCATGTTAAAATTTATGGGTTATTGTGTGTTAAGTTTAGTATGCTGAGGGTGTACTGGTTCCTTCAACAGAGGCCTGTAATTACCTCTGTACAGTTGTTCCTTTTACCCTCTTCATGCAAGATAATGTTGGAGGCTCTCATTTTATGAATGCATGTAAAATTTTTATATTATTATTATTATTATATTATTATGGAATGTATTAATGCAGTTCTCAAAGGCCAGTTACCTTAATGCAAGGAACGGAGGCCTTTTCAAGTAACTGTCTAGGCACCCTGGGCCATCAGTGCATAGAACACACTGGTTAGCTTAAGAGGACAGCCCTATTGATGGATATGTTTGTTTAGAAGTATTGCGAGGCCTTCCAGTATGGTAAAATAAAGGAATTGTAAATGAAAGATGATAACGGTGAAACCATAATTTCTGAAGCTTACTCCTATTATTATATGGTATTAAAATACAATTTATCAATATGAAAATTAATATCATAAATATTGTGCATTTAATTATAAGTAATGATTATGTAAATGTTTTTGTGATATTCTGCGATAACAAGAACCTTCCCTGAAGAATTATGATTATGTGAACTCTCAAACAAAAAGACTTTTGGACGAAATGCTGAATGCTGAAAAATTCAATAGGACTCTAAAATTAAAAATTATTTTTAAAAAAATTGATATTTATAAATTATACTTACAGGACAAAAATTTTATGATTTATTTATTTATTTATTTATTTTTAATTTGCTAGTGTTTTAACTTTTTCTCTTTAAAAAGGCTTCTCTGTCGCTACGCCTTTTTCTTTTTGAAGGGGGGAATATGTAAGATAAAAATATGTGAATCAGAATTATAATATAACTATAAACATTAATTCTTCCTCTCTATTCTAAAATCGTAGTAACTTATCTGCATTGCGTCATTCAAATTAATCATGCGATCTTACGTAACCGTTAATACCATATGCCTCTTGACGACCAATCACCGAATTGTAAACCGAAACTTTTCTCTTCGCGTGCTTGCATCTTTCATAACTACGTACTTCAGCTTTTGCTCTGTGCTGTGCTAAGATGTAATTTTGCTGGCTTGCTTTCTATCTCAAAAATATCAAAAATGTAAATCTTCTGTGGAAAGGCACGACTAGAGTGCCAAGTGATTGTGGCCACAAATATCAATTGGAAATAAAAATGGAATTGAAACTGCCTCGACTGCCAAGTTCTTTAAATACTACACAATCAAAATTCTTCTTCAATATGGATCTAAGCACGCATCTACAGTGTTCCGTCTTTTTCTTTTCCTGTGCTTTTATTATTACAATTAAGTCGAATTCGGTGATTGGTCGTCAAGAGGCATATGGTATTAACGGTTACGTAAGATCGCATGATTAATTTGAATGACGCAATGCAGATAAGTTATTACGATTTTAGAATAGAGAGGAAGAATTAATGTTTATAGTTATATTATAATTCTGATTCACATATTTTTATCTTACATATATATATATATATATTATATAGCACACACACAGCGCCATATATAGAAAGACAGAGCAGATTGGATAAAAGGAATCCTGATTATTCTATCTGAGGGAAAGGTGAAGTTAAATCTTTTATATCGGGATATGAAACTATTCAACAGAACCTGTGAAGAGCAAGTATTTTAAACACTAAATTTAGTTGATTAATGAGTTCCGAATAACATGTTTCGTTCCTTTGGTCAAATGGAGACTTCAAACTGCTTTAAATAAATTTCTGTTTTTGAAAAGTAAGAACACAGAGGTTGGTCCCGAGCCAATCCTACATGCCATTCATACTCTTAGAGTAAATCACACAAAAAAATTCAAAAACTTGGGTACATAGAACATGCAAAAACTAAAAAAAGAGTAGAAAGTATAACAAATGACAGACAAATGGTAGAACTGTACACAAAATTTAGAAAAATTTTGTAAATGTAAATCACTTATTTAAATTATTGAACATTTATGGCAAACAGAAAAGGGGGTTGCTTCCATAGTGGTGCAATTTGATGGGCTCTTGGGTTCCCATCAAATTGTACACTATGGAATAATTCGTCCAATCACACAGAAGTATTCAACACAGGCGAGGTATATTTCCAGGAGGTATTTTTCTACTACGTAGTTAAGATAAAAATGCCATCCAAATTTACAAGGCTGTTTTAAGAAATGGTACTGTTCTGCTACCAGGACTGGATTCAGAAATGTATGCATGTATGTATGGATGGATGTGTAACATATGCATAACATTCATACATTTCTGAATCTAGTCCCAATAACAGAAGTACCTAAGAGACAAAATTGTGACTTTTTTAAATGCAAGAATTTTCATTAATACTAATTCTGGCTCCAAAGTAAAAGAAAATAAAAAAGATAGTAAAAAAGGTGACAGTCTTCTCATAATTGAGCTGTAATATGTTTCTGAAAAGAAACTGTCTCTTTTATTAAAAGGAAAGGAAAGCTGCTATATTAGTTATTACTAAACTGAAAACTGAGAAAGTATTATATACATATATATCTTTACTTATCTTCATATCATTTCCTAGGAGATAGTTCACTGAAATTATCGAAATTTTAGCAGTGATAGTGCAAGATTTGACTTTATTAAGTACAAATTTAATTTTTCTTATATATATATATATATGAATGTGTAAGAAAAAATATGTAAATAAAAATTAACCACATAATTTTCCCTCTCGTCAAAATCATAACTTTTCTGGACAGCGTCATTTCTAGATCAATACATCTTGGATGGCTTACGTAACGCTAATACTCAGAACTTGAACTCAAAATTTTGAGAACTGAAACTTCTCTAACCTAAACCAAAACCTTTCTCTTATTGATCTTCCATACTGGATAAATGCACACTTGCTACTGCTTAGGCATTATTTTGCTGAGCTCTCTTTCTGTAACAGTATCAAAAATGTAAATGTTCCAGAAATAGGCATAATTAGAGCGCTAAGTGAATTGGGCCACAAGTGTCAATTTAAATAAAAATGGCATTTAATTCACCTTGATTGCCAAGTTTCTTAGATATTACAAACTCAACATTATTAGCAAACTACACAATCAGAATTTTCCTTCTTAGTAGGGATCCTCTTCAGTATGCCATTTACGTGCTTCATCATCAGAATTTCTGCATTTCTGAGTCTCAGTATTCCTACATCAGTGCTTCAAAAATCTGTTTTTATTACATATATACGTACAGCATATATATACAGATTATTCAATAGTAGAGATATGTTGATAGAGTATTAAGAAAGAACTCACCCTACTCTCATGCCTTCTTCAATATCTGTGGGAGCAACAGAATCTGCAAGATCAACAACAAATTTCGCAAATTGTTTCACATTGATGATGTACTTGGGCTCGTCTGAATCCGTAGTGATAATTTTTGTGCAGCGAGCAACTTGCAGTGGCTGCTCATTCTGCAGTGTCTGTTTGTCGGCTGCAAGATCCCACAGTGCAGGAGGAGCTAGACCGGTATCAGATTCTTTAATACCTGTAAAAAAATTATATAAATACTTCATAAAATTTTTATGCAAAAACATATAATACAACATTTAACAATAATTTTCCAACACACTTTTGCAGCAACAAAATATTTGCTGCACTTACCTATTTTTTGTTGAGTACTTACATATTTTTTTGATAACCACTCAATCAAGTTCGGCACAACAGATGCAGAAAACAGTAAAAATTGTAGTAATAAGAGTGATACTGAAGAAAATGATAAAATGGTGATAACCAAAGTTATTCGCAGATAGTGAAATTTAGCACTATAACAGGGGGAACGGAAAGTAATGTCGCTTTCTTACATTAAATTCAAACAAATACATTTTTAACAAGTTTTTATTTTTAATCAATAATATAATCACCCTCATTATCAATAACCTTTTGCCATCTAATGTGCAGATTTTCAATCCCGGACCGATAAAAATCAATTGGTTTTTTGAGTAAAATATCTCGAGAAGACATTTTGGACATCATCTAAATTTTCAAATTTTTTGCCACTAAGAAAATGTTGCAGGGATCTGAATAAATGGAAATCCAATGCTGCAATATCGGCCGAGTATGGTGGGTGAGTATGGCAGTTCCTCCCACCCCAACTAATTAATTTTTTTCCAGTGTTCGTCTTGCACAGTGCGGTCTTGCATTGTCCTGTTGCAGAATGACGCATTTTCTGTTTACAACTGATATTTTTCGATTAAAGAATGGTTCACTCACACTGTTAATGCAGACCTTTATTGTTCACAATAAAGGTCTGCATTAACAGTTTGTCCAGGTTCCAGCAAATCAAAATGAACAATTCCGCGAATACTCCATCAAATACCCAGAAGTGCCTTTTCGGGATGTAAATAAACCCTTTGTAATTCCTATTAAAACTGCCTTTTGAATTTTGGATTATCATATAGGACTTATTTTTTTGTCTCCACTAATCAAACGATCAAAAAAGGGTTCTGTATGGTGCCATTGAAGCAATACGTTGCATGTGATAGATAGATTGGCTTTGTTCTTTTCAGACAGATTATGGGGGACTCAAACACCTGCTTTGCTTATTTTTCCATTCTGCTTTAAATGTTCTTGGATGGTTGACCAAGGCTGGTTAAGAGTGTTTGACATGGATTTGCTTCCACTTCTGCCCCTAGCATGTTGTTGTCGACATGTGCACAAACGACATTACTTTCCAGTCCCCCCTATTATAAGCATGATGCCACAACACACTTATATGATGATCACTTTCATTTTAGGCAATCCTGGTTAATTCTGAATAAAGCAGAGTTTGTGCATGTATATGAAAAAAGTTATAAATTAACTGTTATTTCTCTGTCTGTATCATGTTAAGAAAATGATTAAAATTTAGTACCTGCCTTCTACAGAAAACTATATGAAATTGTAAAATTCTGCATGATACATGACCCATGCGGTAGTAAATAACACTCAATAATTTAAAAAAGTAAATAGCAAAAACCCTCAAAAACTAATACTCAATGTAAAATGCACAATCTAAACACAAAAAGTGAGGGCGTACAGCGTTTCCACTTGTCCGTTCGAGTGTGCCCCTCCACATCCTCCCTAGCATGGATAAACATTTACTAGCTCCTCCTACAGTGAACTCCACCACCAGCTCTTGCCTCCCCGAAATGGTTCTATCCAGAGTGTCATGCGAAATGTTTATTTTTGAGCAAAAGATTTTGCTTGATGCAAAATGAAGTGAAACAATACCAATTTTTCAAGTTTTCCTTTTTTAATAAGGCAACAAATCCTTCATTTTTAACTTCTTATGGAAGGTGTACTATTAGTACAAACAATGACTTAATTACTGACATTTAATTGTCATTGATAGCATACTTCTCTGAAGTTTTTGAAAATGTCAACACTGTGAGTTCTTCCAGTTAGCTTACTCAGTGCAAGAAGTTCTTCGTAACACTGAAAATCTTTAATTACAGCTCGAATCGAATATAAAACTTGCGCCAAGTCAGTTTCTAAAGTTTCTTTCATCTAAAGCAATTGAAAAATAAACATCTTCATTTTATATAATTGTTTGACATTGCTATGTTACATATTCAACTAATCTGTGTTGGTGATCTGTTATAGTTCTTGAAAGAGGCATCATGCTGGCAATTTGTTATAGTTCTTCTTGAAAGAGGTAATTGTTTGTATTTATCAACTTTTTCTGGATCTAACTTCCCTACAATACAATTTTAACATACATTTTAACAATATATTTAATTATTTCTATGTCACTACCCAATAGCATGGCAACATCATAACGACATTGCAAACTGGTCGTGAGTCGTGTTGCAAAAACATCGCAATGCATCGTTAAGATGCCCAGATGTCTGCAAAATTCCACTGTTTTGCAACCGTTGCAAAGATGTCTTTATAGATGAGGTTTTTGTTGCATAGATGTCGATATCACGACATCCAAATGTTCGCAAAATTCCATCTTTTTGCAACAGTTGTGAAAATGTCGTTATTATGTCCTTGTGTTACATATCGATTTATGCAGAAACATAAGCTTAATAACTAATATATTTTTCTTCTTTTTTAAAATTTTGTATTCCTTGTATTTTTCTAAAGTTTAAATATTTTATCATTTCCTGAAAACCAGAAGACAATACAGTTTTTTCTCTTTAGACTAAATATGCATAATTAATAATAGCTTTAATTATTTTCAGCACTTAAAACTATAGTTTTTAAATTTCTCTTTAGACTAAATATACATAATTAATAATAACCTTAATTATTTTCAGTACTTTAAACTATATTTTTTAAATAACTTAAATTCTGATTATTCAAGATTTCAACATTTTTTTCTCTTAAGGGAGAGTAATTATGAAAGTGATTATTGTAAATGTACAATATTAATAGTAGGTTTTAAGTAAATAAAACTCAATTAGACATAAATAAAAGTAAAGATATATATGTGGGTTAAAAAAAAAGCATTTCTGATAACAGCATAATCACATTTATTTCTGTTAAATTTCAGAAACATTGAAAATTGCCCCTCTCATGATAAATTAGGAAGGTAACATAATCAGTATTTTACCTGAACTCAAGTATAAATTTATTCGCGTTTCACAGTAAAAAAATATAACCATAAACTTTTATATCTCCAAGATATGCAAAAAGTAGTTAATAAATGTGATAAAAAATATTTTATATAAAAATATACCTAATGTTTGAAAGTATAAATAGCAAGCAGAAGGAAGGTAACAGAACTAAAATTTCCAATTAGTAAAAAAAAAAAAAAAAAAAAAAAAAAAAAATTATGTTTTTTAAATAGTAAGCAATTAAAAGTGCAATAATTATGGATTGCAGTATTTACTAGTAATACTGATGTTTCTTAACATATGTAAACTCGATCATATGCAAATGTATTTACTTACTTTTAGTTTCTACATTTTAGAATAAGTAGATTACAATGATTATTTCATGCACTTTTTATAATCAATAACTTTCTTTTTGTTACTGTACAGAAATAATTGAAATAATATAGTATATGATAGTAAGCTAAGTACGTTAAAGTAAGCTCTTCGTTAAATAGCACATGATGAAACTTTTTGTTTCAAAGATGCCTGTTAATGATGCTTTTCATTTTTCAGTTTCTGAACTGCAGTTTGTTGAGATTCACCTTCAAAATTGAAATATTTATGGTCTTAATGAGTCAAATAGTGTTTCTTTGCATTTCTTTGAATTGTTATTTTGACTTCATTTAGCGTCATTTTTTGGTGCGGAAATCACCGCTAAAATAACAAATCAAAGAATTGCATAAACTCTGTGTCCATGTATCACCAAAAATCGCCAAGTGGGCACCGTCAAATACAGTTTTACCGAAAATAAAACATACTTAAATTTTATAAAAAATAAAACCTAATTTCCATCATTTATTTATTGAGATAATCTAATAAACATACATAATGGCAATATTTAAAAAAACACGAATTACACAGTGTTGGAAGAATAGATACCAAACGAAAAGTAATAAAACTACAATTTGCAATCAATAAAAATATTTAGTGTTTTTTAATATTACACAATTAAATATCACATAATTATAGATTACAATATTTCATAGAAATGCTAATGTTTCCTTAACACTAGTTTTTCGATCATGCATTTCATACACTATTTAAAATCATTAAACTTTTGTGCGTACTATACAAAAAACAAATACACTATAGAATGTTCATTATTATTTAGCTATTACATATATCTAATTCCTCTTCAGCAGTAATATTAAGTACTGGTACCAGTCCAATAATTTCTTTGTATTTTGAAAATAATGAACATACCATAACAGCTTGAACTGCCATTGCTTCTGCATTGATTGCATTTTCAGCAAAACCAGAAAGTGCCTTACCGTTGTATGTTATTTTTGGTTTTATATGAAATAATTCTGAGACCCAACCTTTCAATATGAAACAATAATTGATTTATATGAATGATATGCGATACAGAACTTAGAACATTATAACTGAAGCACGGAGCTAATAAGGGTATCCAAATATTGCACCCCTGGAACCACAAAGATTGCAGAACACTACCGAAACACATAAAACACCAAAACACAACACTATTTCACAAATACTATATTCACGATTAGCATTGTAGTATTTCTTGTAGAGCAGATATTCACAAACAAAATAAGCACAAATTCAGCATTCGCACAATGATTTCTCCTCAATTGCAAACTCTCGGACCAGTTTGCAACATCGTGTGCTACTTGGATACGTGGTCTGCCTCTTTTTTCCAAATACAGTCAAAAGTCGTTAATCCGGACTCGTCGGGACTTTGGCGATTCCAGATTATAGATCATCAGTTTAAATCTGGTAAGACGGCATGCAGAAATTACAAAATTAAAAATATGAAACCATAATTTATGAAATAAAGAACAATTATGATCTAAAGGGTATCAAAATTTACAAAAAGAAAAAGCTTAATATTTATTTGTTTACTTTATTAAACATTTTTTTCAATGTAAGTTGTTTAAGTTGCTTCGTTTCATATGATAATACTTTCTCTTTAATTCTATTAAACAGACATAGTTTCTTGTTCAGTTACAAAGTTCCGCTGTTCAAGTCCTATAATGGCTGTGTCGAGAATACCGACTAATTTGTCAATCGAAATTTTTTCGTTTTCAATAACCTCTGTGTCACTTTCTTCACTATCAGAAGCGAATTATAATGACGAGGAACTTGATTTAAATCATATCAAAGACGGAGTACATCGAGATGAAATACTACATTTAGTAAGGAATTATAAGCCAAATAAAATAAAAACATCTGCCCTGAATATAAGGATAGTGCTGACAGATAAACTTCCAATTCATTGCGCATCACGGTCATAATTGATCTTTTTTTCATAAATTACGGTTTCATATTTTTAATTTTATAATTTCTGCATGCCATCTTACCAGATTTAAACTGATGATCTATAATCCGGAAAAATCAATAATCCGGAATCGCCGAAGTCCCAACGAGTCTGGATTAACGACTTTTGACTGTAGTAATAAAACATCTCCTAAGTGTAAGAATAAACCCAAGTTGAGTAAAGGTAAAAATAATTCCCATGCTCAGTCCCATTTTATAGCTCAAGCTAATGTTAACAATTTGGAGGAAAATGATGATAGTTGGATTTTTGATACTGTTGCATCTCATCATTTTTGTAAAAATCGTGAATTGTTCGATACTTTTTCTCCTGTGAAAAGTGAGAATATGCTAGTAGCTATTGATGGGGTAACTTTTCCAATTCATGGGAAGGTTACTGTTAAAATGAAATTTGGGGATATAGTTATTTTGCTTAAGAATGTTTTTATACTCACCTGAATTGAGACGAAATTTAATATCTGGACCTAGGGTGGATATCAACAGAGCGAGATTTTATGGTAAAAATGGGCAAATTAAAGTTACTGATAATGAAAATGAAACCTTTTACAAAGCTAAGTTGATAGGAAGTAACTATCATGTATTCCCAAAAATAGTGAAAAAGGGGGGCAAATCTGTAAAATTTGAGGCATCCACAGTTCAGCATAACAATAGTGAATTATGGCATGGTCGATTTGGTCATATAAATTATGATGCTATTGTCAGGACTAGTAAGAACATTCAGTTCGAAGTCTGTGTTAAAGCACTCACCTAATTTGTTTTGTGAACATTGCCAAATCAATAAGCAAAGACGAATCTCCTATAGACCCTTAGAAGGTATTCAAGTAAAGAGGCCGCTTGAAAGGGTCTTTCAGGGTTGCCACTCAAACAGGAGAATGAAATTCCCTGACTTTTCCAGGTTTTCCAGGTATGTTTCGAGAAAATTCCAGTCTATCTGCATAATGTACATTGGCTGTGCTAAGAGGTAAATTAATTATGGTATTACTTGTACTGTGTAGCAAATTTACTTAATTATTCAATAAAGCCCAGAGGACATTCATTCTTAATTATTCTTGGTACACTTTGCTTGATAATTTTGTTTACTTTTCCATTTAAGAAACTTATTAAAATTTAAGATATATACATTGGATCACAATTGTACATTTTATTTAATTATTACTCATGATCATCACCAGTTCAACATGAGGCTAATCCGGTTCTTATAAATCACAACACAATGCTAAAAGTTAGGTTAGATTTTAAGTAAATTTAATTTGTGTGAGGTGTCTTCTTAAAAGGCACCTTAACGCTTGAAAACACAAATATAATTATAATAGGAGTTGTTTTCTCCACTGAAGATTGAGATTAGAATCTCCCCAATCTGGAATAAAATAAGGCTTTTTTTGCAGACATTCTGCAGCTGAATGAAAGAAAGAAATCTATTTAATGCTATTTTTTTACTAAATTGAGGTATTTTATATTTATTTCGCAGCATACATAAGGAAAAAAACATGTGCATTAAATTTCGTGATGTCATCATACTGCTAGAATTAATTTCAGGATTATGCCAGAGAAAATTTCCTGAAATTTGGAAATATTATTTACTAATGATAAATAAATTTAGAGGAAAGAAGCAACATTAAATGATATGAATAACATAAAAATAAAGATAATTACTTAAAAATTGAATTAGAATAATCAACGACATTTTAGCGAATATAGTTATATTACATGGTTAGCCTAGATGACTGATTACTATTTTTGGTACTTTTCCGTTTGGCCGGCGCAAATCTCGCCAAGCAGACTTTATTGGCGACTACATACAGTATACACATAAAAAATATTTAAAGAAATGTTAGTTCTAAGAATTCTTTTTTTGAAGGCATAAACATTTTAATATCGCTTAAAATTTTATAAAAAGCGAATAAATAAAGACAGTAAATTTGTAAAAAGACATTAATTTAAGAATTTACTATGCTTTCATGGTTCAACATCTTGATTCGCCGGTTCATCTCACGTGACCCCAAGCGATCTCATCTCACATAAACTACTCTACAAAAATCTAATGCTAGTAATTATCTACATTAATTTCAAGTTAAATCTTAATTTGGAACACAAGTTTTAAATGCAAGAAATATTTCAATTCGTACGAATAGCTTACTCAGAAATTATGTAAAGCTGCAGTGCTTTACTTCGCTAATGCATTCTCATTAGAATTGATGAATTTAACCCTTGACTTACATTTTCTATATTTTCAGCTTCGGGTAAGTGCTGTGATTGCATCCTGATTGACTTAATTACTGAAAATGGCCTTAGACATAAAACTGAACTATCTGATAAAAATTCTATGTAATTATATGCCACTATTCAAAGAAACAATCAATCTGATAAGAAAAAGCTGCGACTTGTTTTGAAAATGAGGTGTAAAAGGTTACCAGCGAGAATATTCCGTTTGGCATCGGTTGTACCATTATTGGCGACTTTATCGCTTGCGCCAGCAAAACGGAAAAGTACCCTATTTTTTTATTTTACTGCAAAATGACAAGGTATTTATTAAAAAAAAAAAAAGATTTTGCGGTAAAATCCTAGTATACGGTACGACCTTCGCACGATTTTGAAAATTATCGCCAAGAACAAAATGACTCGTTTACTGCTCATCATCATGTCGCCAAATCCCGCTGTACCATACATGGAGATTATTCTAACCAAAGAACGTCTATGTAAAGAAGAAAAGGTTCCATACACGTAAATGCTATTACGCGGCTAGAAAGCGGAGGGAAAATTTGCCAAGGGATTTGGCGACGGAACCTGGCGGCCAGAATTTCCTTCTCCGCGACGTGTACAGGAAATTGAGAAACACGTGTTAAGAAGAAACATTCTTAGACAAAAAAGAAAACTACGAAAATCCGTTTTTAAATTATTGCGAAAAATCCAAGAAGAAACATTTTATCAAAGAACGTTTTTTCTTGGATTTTACGCAATAATTTTAAACACGGATTTTTGGTAGTTTTTTTATCCCCTCAAAATAACTAATCCATGAATTAATTTACTTGCGCCAAAAAATATTTTCTTTTCCTTTAAAGTGTTCCTTTAAAGTGAAACCTATAGTGTTTCTTTGCATTAGGTTTTTTTCAGAGCGGCCAAAACTGTATTGCACAATAAACACACTATTTTATCTTTCACAGAAGTACAGAAGTAATAAATAATTTTCTTCATTTAAATTTCTTCTTTTACAATTCAACATAATGGAGAAAAAACAAATATCAAATAACATCTTTAAAAAAGCGTATACTTACTCAAAATACAGAAACTAGATTTCCATAATGGGAAATAGCAATATCAGCCAAGATTGTTACAAGCACGCACAGGTAACTACAAATCACCAACTCCACAACATACAGGGAAATGTTGAGGTGTGTAGGGTAGAGGGAGAAAAAAGTAGGTACTATCCAGGATTAAATACCCACAATCTGTCTCTAGAACAGCCACCCTCATGGTGCCTGGCAGTTGCTATAGAAACAGGATCAGTGTATTTAGAGTAAGGGTGAGCCATAGCCAAAAATGAAGAAACAGAAGAAACAGGGTTAGTGTATTTAGAGTAAGGGTGAGCCATGGCCAAAATAGAAGAATTTCTGTTCTTGGACGTTGGTAAACTGAAAAGTGTATCGGAATAGCAATAATTTCAGACTGTGAAAGACAGCTAGAACTGCAAACTGCAGCATTCTAATTCATATTATGCTTAATAGAGGGAAGCATGTTATTTTATTCTATTAATTTTCAAATCGTTGTAATCTTTATAATTAAATATTAATTAATACAAGAGTTATAGGCTGTACAGGAAACTCATGGAGACCGTATATTTCTCACCTCTGCCTTAGAGGGTATTAATGTGTTAATGGATAAAATTCTAAAATTCACAAATAAAGAGCAAAAATAGAATATGAAATAGATAAATGGGCTAAAAGGAATATTGAAACTTGTCAAACATTTCCCACCTAATATAAAGAAAAAAATAGTTGTACTGAATTACTGCGAAAACTAGCGAATTCTTCTCCGTTCACATACAACCTGTTTTGTGAACCAAAAGTAACTGACCCTTTTTTATAACACACCTATTAAAAATAATTTTAAATTAAGTCAGAAATGTAAAAAATGCTTTTACCTGTTAACTCGTTTACTTTCTTCAGAATACCTTGTATATCATCTTCAACTTGCTTTATAGCTTTACTATATTGACCAACACCCTAATTATTAATGAAAAAACTCATCAAACAATATAAAAGATTATATATTAAAATTATGTACAATACTCTTCTGATATGAAAAGAAATTCACAATATTTAAAGTACATACATATGTCTTCAAAAGTGCTATATCCCCTTCGTCCAAAGCTGGAAAAAAAAAGGTTATGTATACAAAAGCTGCAAAAATCAAAATAATTAAGAGGCTATATTCAATATGTTTTCTTTACATAATCACAAAAAAGTCTAAACAGAACTTAAGATAATTTTATGGGGGAAGCACAAAATCAGCCACTGCTTTGTGCATTTCTCAAAATCGCCAACTTGAAAATAACAAGTCAAAGAATTGAACAAACTCGGTATCCATGTACACAACATCCTATTTACACTTAAAAAAAAAAAAAAAATCCAGAATCGCACACTCTCTCGACTTTGTCCATGTACACATCGATATGCACCATATAAGTGGGCGATTCTCCATCAACTTGAAAATAACAAGTCAAAGAATTGCACAAACTCGGTATCCATGTACACATTGTGCACTCCCTTGACTTTATCCATGTGCAAATCGATACGCCTTATATAAGTAGGCGATTCTGCACTTTACCCAATTTTATATGCAAAGCAAACATAAATCAAATATAAACTTAAAATCGTACAGAAAACATATAAAAAATCATTGCAGCCAGAAGATAAAAAATGATAGAGACTTACAGTGACATAATCTTTTGTATCGTAAACAGACAATTAAAAATTCGTCTAACTAGTCGGATAGTCCTGAATAAAAATAAATTAATGAACTGGCATTTAAACCTTCTAGCACACATTTTATAACGTTTATATTTTCTTATAAAAATTAATGCAGGGAAAAAAGTCTAGATAAAAATGCTTTATTTTTTACGTCATTGCAGTCAGATGATCAAAAATGATACAGACTTACAGTGACATAATCTTTTATATCATAAACAGGCAATTAAAACTTCCTTTAGCTAGTCAGAATGCCTTGAATAAAAATAAATTAATGAACTGGCATTTAAATTTTCTAGCACACATTTTATAATGTATATATTTTCTTATAAAAATTAATGTAGGGAAAAATGTCTAGATAAAAACGCTTTATTTTTTTACGAACATGAGTTCAATATTAATAGCAAGCATAATAAGAGCCTTAACAAACTGAATTTGACAAAAACTGTTTTGGTGAAGAAAATAGAATGTTTCACCGAAATAAAAGTAACAATTTAATACAAGTACCTTTCACATCATCCACTTTTTCATCTTTTTCGTCACCTTTGGTTTTTCGCATATCATCTCCCAAATAATCAGGCATTTTAAAAAAACTGTGTAAGTATTAAAACAAAATTTACTTAGTCAGAATTGCAGGTACGGTTACAGACAGTTTCTGACATGACAAGCGCACATTACAGACATTACAGAAAGTTCTTAAAAAATAAAAACGCTAAGAAAACATTATTCTAATGAAAATAAATACATTTTTACACCTGATTTTGAGACATTACTGTTTTTAATTAGATGTTTAATAATTACTATCGTTATATGTGCTTTATATTTTTCTTTAGTACTTGAGCATTTTTTTCCATATTAAAAAGCTATCTTATTTAAATTTGGCAACAACGAATTACTTATGAAAAGTTGGAAAACCGTATGAGATGTGAATGTTACTGACGAGCGAGCGAGGAAAACTTGAGCCAAGTGTTGAGATTTGTTTTATAGTGTTTCAAGACAAATGACTCTTGATTGGAATGTGAGTATAACGATATTATTTTCTCTTTATATGTGTAAAATCGTGTCTCATAAATAAACCATTAAAGGCAATTTTGAATTTGTAACTAAAGTGTAATATAAAATATTCGGTATTCTTCTGTCATCGTGACCGGATTTCAGAAATGTATGAATGAATGGATGGAAGTTCATGCTTGCATGTATATATGTATGAATGTGTTCACGTGTGCCTGTATATGTACATAACCCATTCCCGTACAGACATATGTATGTGTGTGTGCATACATACACGTGTATACCTTCATTGAAAAAATGTTCACTGCAAACATCAGATCAGTAGAGATTCTGATGCAGCTGATTAACCCTTCAGCACACGCGCATCACTGCGCTACGTTAGTACACGCGCGAGACAAATTTTACCCCAGTGTTTGTTTTTCGGAGTTCACCCCCCCAACGTATAAATAAATGCATTTTCTTTGTTTTCAATGAATGTATAAATCACTAATAGCTTTGTGGGGTGTACTCCAACTGCACTAATGGAAATACCCCCTCCCCCCGGGTCGAGCTATAGTCCAACTGCGCCAATCAAAATTTCTTCCCCCCTGCTGCCTACAGGGTTACAATTTAACTTTTCGTGCCAATTGTAGCCAAGAGGAAAATAAAAATAAATAAATAGAATTACATATCACAAGAACAAGTAAAAAATATCTAACAAGCAGGCTAATTACTTGAATAACAGTAATAAATGCGAGAGGTAACAAAGAAAATAAAAGATATAGGTAAACGTACATATTAGCATTACAGACATCGAAACTACTCTGATATGCGCCCTCAAGTCGCCAAATTTCTCGCCAAATATTTTTGGCGAGAAACTTCACGCTGCCATATTACTATCTAAATATTTTGTTTACATTTTGAACTTTTAGCCTAAAATGTCTCCAAAAACGCGGTTTTCGCACATGCAAAAACTACGTTTTGAACACACAATTTAGCTAAAAATCCGAAACAAAAAATTTAGATAGCAAAAATGTAAAGTTTCTCACCAAAAATATTTGACAAGAATTCATGTACACAGCGACATGTTTTAACTTAAAAAAACATCTACGAATTGCACAATGTAGGCAACCCTCTATTTTTTTTTTTCCCGCCGCCATTTTGTCTTCACGAAGTAAAGACGTGTTTCTTTTCTTTTTATCTACTGAACACTTCTTCCAACAATCTAATAGCCAAATTACACTTATGCTAGAAATTTTATCTAGCAAAACTGCTTAATCATGACAAATATTCACTGCAAAATTGGGAAAAAGTGCACAATACCATACTCCTTATGCATTTTTCAAAATAACACATACACATAAACATAAACCATGTACACGCCGACTTATTTTTACTTAAAAAAACATCCCAGAATTACACAAAAATGGCATTGCGCACACTCTTCACTATATCCATGTACACTGCTTTTTTCTCATAAATTAGAAAAATTTCACGAAAATACATGACAATTTTCTGAATCTTTAAACCCGGTAAAAAGAACATATATGAAATTACCTGATCGTGAAAAAGTTTATACCCTTTCCAAATATGAACATTTCCACATATAAAATAAATAAAATATCCAAAAACTTTTACCTCTAAATCATCTATTATATTATACACGTCACCAACGAATTCATACCGCAAGCATTACAAATACTTAGTGTCAAATATTTAAATTATTTCCATGCACGTTTACTTCAACTTAAATGTATACCAAATTCCTACAAACACAAAATTCACAAAATAACTATCATTTAATTAAAATATCACTAAACCATGTACACGTCGACTTATTTTTACTTTAAAAAACATCCCAGAATTGCAAAAAAAATGGCATTGCGCACACTCTTCACTATATCCATGTACACTGCTTTTTTTCTCATAAATTAGAAAAATTTCACGAAAATGCGTAACAATTTTCTGAATCTTTAAACCCGGTAAAAAGAACATATATGAAATTACTTGATCGCGAAAAAGTACATACGTTTTCCAAATATGAACATTTCCCCGTATAAAAATTACAAATGGTTACAAATACTTAGTGTCAAATATTTAAATTATTTCCATGCACGTTTACGCAAATTACTTTACTTCCACCTTACATTTAGAACAATGCATAAAAATAATATCCTCAAATAATTAAAAATACTAACTTACCTATTCTTCAGAATCTTGATTACGTGTCCGATAAACTTTTCTTATTTCTGTTTCAGGATCTTTAAAATCATACTTATAGTTCACACCAAGGTACCAGGTAAAATAAATAACTTAATAAAACATCTTTACTTCTATCTCGCACAACCTTAAAGAAACATTCATTACTACGCCTTTCAATCCCACTAAATACCCATTTCGAATTCACTTTAGTTAGGGCCATGGGATCCAAAAATTAACGAACACTGTTTCACACAACACAGAATAAAGGCAAATACAAAATTTCCAGATTTTTTCCCGATTTCCCCCCTTTTCCGATTAAAGAACCGTACTTCGTCCATTAATATCACATGACATATCACATGATCTCTCATTTCCCTCACACAAAATAATGCGTAATTGGAACTGAGTACTGCTCACATTATTACCAAAGTCCCAGGTAGTAACCTTTATCGCCTCCAAAATGTCGCCAAACTACCAGTTACCATATTGTAAAGATCAGCCGCTTATTTTTTTAACCAAAAACTAAAAATTAGGATGCAAAAGTTTGTGTAATATACTTGGAAATATCTGAACATATAATTAGTTAGAAACATACAATTAAATTAATAACAAGCTAATTAACAGTAACATTAAGCTTAATTTTATTCAATCTAAAACAAGCAATCGATCAGGAGCTCCGCATAACTGAAGTTTTAATGCTATTTTACGTAGATTTGCGTATAAAATAGAAGTTGCACTTGTGAAACAAGTGAATAATGTACTGATAGCCAACAGGAATTAAAATACAGTGGTTAAAAATATAACAACTTGTCAGAAGGTATGCAAAGTTGCCATGGCTAGAGAAATTGAATGATTATAGAAAACTTATAAAGTTAAGCGCTGCAGTGTGAAAAGAAAATTCTGGAATAAACATGTTAAGAAAATTAGATGGAGAAATAATCCTTAATTTATTGATATCCATATAAACTCTATGCTTTTGGAAAATGTTACATATAATTTGCACCAACAAGTAATCACGAAACTGAGTTAATTTCTTTCTCCTTATTAGAGGGATTTGTAAAAAGATATGCTAGGTAAAGGTAAAACTTTTTGCAATACTTTTAAAGAATAAATTAAAAAGTAAATTTTTACTCATGAACTGAAAATTTTACGCTACAATTTTTTAAGTAAATAAAAAAAAAGAAAGAGCTGAGGGATCACTGGGACTAGAAACTTGGGTCGAACTACCAATGTTTAGTGACTTTTCCACAAGACCTTTTGAAAATTAGGCTGAAAAATATATTAAAGAAAATAGAAGATACAGCACACGTAAGAACAAAAGTGGGCTGAATTAAGAGATTTACATGTTTGGTGAATGAGTTAAACTTACCTGTATGCCATTATGAAATTTTAGGAATGTAGCATAAAGCATGAGTGAAGATGGGGCAATGGCAATCTAATCATTGTAATCTAAATGTATATTATTACGAGTATCTGCTATTAATTTCAATACTGCTGAAAAAATTATAAAGGATTACAGTATAAATCCATGAACTGCATTATAAAATTACAACAGTTAGAAATATTATTAGCGTGATTTAGCGACCATCTTTGTTAACAAATAATTTCAAGTAATAATTTTACAAATAATCAGCCTGAAAAACTAGGTTGGGAAAAAAAGCTACAAGATTAAGCTTTTGCCAAGGTGTTAGAAACATCTTCTGTTAACTAGAGTTGTGATTGCAATTTGTAAAAATTATCATTAAATATAAATTGGCATAAATACAATACAAAGTATATAAATTCTACATGCATGAAAACTTGAGAGTACAGTGCAACAATATGTGAAAAAGGAATGGATTAAAAGGGAACTGAAAATTCCAGGATATGAATATAAGGAAGTTTTATTTTTAAAAAACTTTTTTTTTAATTATGAAAATTCTGCTCTGACACTCATAATTATTAATTTATTAATTTAACATGTGTATTAGAAATTAAATGTATGCCAAAGTACATCAGGTGGAAAACAGAATAAATATTTAAATGTTTCTAGTATTAAAATATGGAATTTGTAACAAAGTTAAATAACCTTAAAATAACTTCAATAATTAAAAATGGAAAGTTTAATACGGGGAGGGAATATATTGCAATAATATATTGTGAATTTAGAATGACTTAAGAGTCCAATTTTTAGATTTAATAAAGATAATTTTTATAATTAAATTAGAACTGTTTATCTAAAATGGTAAATTTGAAAGTTAAAATCATTCTGCTATCTAAGAAGTTTGTTTTAATATTTATCTAGACAAGAAACTTATTTAAGGTGAGCTACAAATCCGATATTTTGATACGTTGATTATGTATCAGCTTTGTGTATGTCATTAATCTGTCAATTTTACTATTCAAACCTGA